GCCATGCAACATCCAGGTAGCCCAAACTAACATAATTCTTTTTACATATTTTTTTTTCAGCAAATTGCTATGACTAATGAAATTGCGAATTGATTTTAGAGATCTGAGTGATGACAGTCTAAAGTATCTTAATAGTGAGCAGGCCCTCGCTGACCTTGCTGCATTTAGAGAGGCTATGGCTAAAACATTTAACTTGACTAATAGTAAATGGATTTGCTTTGGAGGGTCTTACCCTGGATCACTATCTGCTTGGTTTAGACTGAAATATCCTCATCTGGTTGATGGTGTGTACTTCTTAACAATGCTAAAATATTTTTTTTTATCAATTATTTAATGATAATATGATTTACAAACAGGTGCTGTTGCTTCTAGTGCACCAGTGTTAGCACAGTTAGATTTTCCTGAATACCTTGAGGTAGTTGCAGCTTCTCTAGCAACAACTGGTTCTGGGTGTAACAAGAACATTGCCAATGCCACCAAACAGATTGATCAGTTACTACAGTCAACTGAAGGGGTAAAAGAACTTACAGAAATGTTTAGGTATTTATACGATATATGAATCATCCAAAAGCTTTAATGTCCACAAACACTATTATAGTGATATGCGAGTCTTTTTTGCTTTTCACTGTCAGACTTTGTGAGACTCTTGACAAGGGCAATGTCAATGATGTAGCTACATTTTCATCAGCATTAGGAGGGAACTTTTTTGGTGTTGTTCAATATAATARAGACAACAGGGCATTTGAGGTTTGTTGATGTGTCTGCATGTTTATCATCCTTGGGAACCCAGGGGTAATCTTCTGTTGTTCGTTCCTTGACAGAAGATTACCCCTGGGTTCCCGAGGATGCATGTTTATATGCTATTTGAAAAGTACAATATTATTGTAAAATCATATGATATAATGCGTAAAGAGAAAGTTGATTGTTATTTTGATATTTTACAGGGAGCAGTAGGAACAAACATTACTATTGATACTTTGTGTGCAATCATGAATGATGAGGGTACAGAAGATCCCCTTGCACGTTATGCCAAAGTGAATTCATTGGTACTTGATACATATGGTCAAAAGTGCCTTGATACTAGCTACATTAATTCTGTTACTTTGCTAAGGAACACATCTTGGTCAGCAAGTGCTGCAGAAGGAGGTAGAAGATGTTTGTGTGACGTTATATACCATTGACCTGAATTTGTGAATGTTATTTCTTAATTTTAAGGTCGCCAGTGGCTGTATCAAACTTGTACTGAATTTGGCTTCTACCAAACAACAGACTCCAGTAACCAACCATTTGGCTCCCTCTTTCCTCTTAGGTATTAGCAAAACCATCAGATCAAACTAAGATGAAGATAGTTTATTCACACTTCTTTTTCAGCTATTCAATCCAAATGTGTCAAGATATTTTTGGAAAATTCTTCAACAAAACAAATATACAAAGTGGTGTCAAAGAAACTAATACTAATTATGGTGGCAAAGGGATTGCATCAAGCAAGGTTGGTCACACCATTTGGTAACTCATTTTTGTACCCAGATCCTTCTCAGTTTCTCAAAGAAAAAGCAAAGGCTCTGGTTGGAGGCAAATGGTCCTTGATTTGATTGGTTCAAAAATTCCCATGTGCTATCAGTATGCATATATCACACAACCCATATTCTGGGTCATCCTGTATCCTTTTCCACCAGAACCTTTGATTTTCTGTTGGACAATGGTGGTTGATTCAGTAATTTTATGTATGTCTGTATTTGAATACCATAGATTGTGTTTCCCAATGGATCTATTGACCCTTGGCATGCATTAGGAATCACTAAGGATGTCTCTGAAAGTGAACAAGCCATCTTTATCAAAGGTATCAACATTTTTTTATTGCACTTTCCTAGTATGCCAGAGAAATATTCACGCTTATTGGTTAGGATTGTCATAACTTGTCAAAAATGATATCAAGAAGTTGTCAAATATATTAGTTGAGGTGTTCATTGTGTGGTGTTCATTGTGTGTAAACTATAATACTTGTAAGGGCTGAATATGAACAATATCTTCTCTGATATCATTTACAGGTACTGCTCATTGTGCAAATATGTACCCTGAGAGTGAAGATGATTTACCACAATTAAGAGAAGCAAGGGAACACATCAAGCAGCACATCAATAAATGGTTGAATGAAAACCAGCATTTCTAAATAATTCAATCAAGAAAGTTATATGTACATGCTGTATTTTTTAGAACTTCTGAAAAAAATCTAACTTAAATATGTAAGAATTATGTTTTGAAGAGAATTAATACTCAAATTAAATTTATGATGTCTATATAATTTCTGGATAGGACAAGAAGAAAAATAACTATCAAAATTTCAAATAGCATACATGCAAATAGTCAAAACATTGTCTTTTTTGTTTTTGCTTATTACCATATCTACTGATATGAATTTACAAAAAACCACAGACAAGTAAAAAAGCAATGGATAATGTTTTTCCACCCTGTTAAATGTAAACTCCCAGGACAAAATGTAAGTTGAGATACCCTGCGAGCAGAGTGTATTTCCTTACCTCAATAAGGAGGTAAGGAAATACACTCTGCTCGCAGGGTAAAGTTGAGAGTATTGTGTGTGTGAAAGTCTAAGGCGAAAACAACAAGAGTGAAAGAAATTTAGTCTTGAGCTTGTCAAGTTTCCAGTCTCTTTGCTGTAGCCCGAGTAAGCGCTCTAGGATAGGAGTACTCTAGCTGTGCTACACCACAATATATTTATTATTCCCCCATTTCTTACAGACCAATACAAAAGCATTGTTTGGTTCTTCTACCGTTTCGGAAAGCTACGTGCTAAGCTTATATATAAATTACTATCGAGTGAAAATCGTCACGTTTATGTTGTTTATTGTTGCAGGTTTGAAACTTGCCCACTTTGTCCGAGAAATCGTTCAATAACAGATTGTAAGGGGACTAAAGGGGAATACGCCAAGAGTAATGATTCTTGCTTCAGTTCTTGAGTCTGCCAGAGTCTGCCGCTATTTCGGACAAGCGCAACTTTACTGAATTAGGCTTGAAGAAATTGTTTTATTTCAAGGTCAGTACCAAAAAATGAGAGATATATCTTGTATAGCTACATACCATATATTTATCTGTTTCTCTGTTTATCCATGTAGGAATAAAAGCAATAATCGTCCCTTTTTTCTTTCCATTCCTATATGTCCTTTTATAATTTTGCTCCCTCGACCCAGACTTCATAAGGAGATATTTGGATGCGCGTAGTCTGGGGGCGATATTTAAGTTCAGTTCAGCTTCCTCCTTCTCACTAGGCGTGCAACATATTAGATAATCGAGAAAATTCAGTGAGATTTGGTCGCTTTTCCAGCCAGATTAGGCTTTGATATATTGCCAAATCTACAGAGAGATCATTTAGGTGGTAGGGAAAGAAGGTGAGCCTTTCAAACGATTTTAAAATTAACATTTAGCGTATATATCTTCCCACAATTATTTTAGGTTCATGGAGACTTCGGCGGTACCACAGACAGATTGTTGACTGTGCCAGCACCAAGGCGTGGATATTGCGTTAAATCATTTCATTTTTTGATTTCTGTTTTCTTAAAAAACTCTTATTTGTGATTCAGATAGATCTTAATTTTTATAACTAAAACAATTCAGCACACTATGCTCTCTTATTTAGCAATTGTTTACAAGTTGAGCTTAACTTTAAAGCTTAAAGACTTTATATTATGTTTGTACAAATCCAAAACAGCTTAAAATTTAAACATGTGAAAAAATATAAAATATGTTTTTTTGGATCCTGTCAGTTGTCGGATGTTTGTTTTAGCAGCAAGTTCTTCTGAATGCAATGCTGACATGATAATTTACAATTTGAGGAATTGTTGTGATCTTATTTTGTTTGAATGAAGCTACAATAGGTTGGTTACTTATGAAACTAATTGATTTGAAGGGTATAGCCCCAGGATTTACTGCATGATATTGTTATTTATGTACAATTCATTCAGCAAATTTGTATTTACAAGAYATTGATACTAGTCAGCTAAAAAAGCGGATTTTCATTTTTTCTCAAGTATTTATATTGATATGAATTCCAAATATTTATCATTTCTTTACTTGGGGTATTTTTGGAGTGATTGTTTTAGTCATTTAAAAATTTAACAGCTCTTTTCTTTGCASATCATGTGTTAGCAACAAAACAATAGCATACCATTCATGATGATATTTTGTATTGGAAAATATAGTGTCATGAAAAAGGACATAACAAAGCCCATTAAAAGAAGAAATGTCTTGTTTTGTTATATTGATAATGAGATAAATATTAAATTAAAACAGAGGGTTTGGTTAAAGTTTAGGCTGTACTACATATAATCAATCATGTATTTATTAATATAATTTGCATTTGAGTTWAAGTAAGAAATAGCAGAGATCAAAGATAACCTAAACCTCGAGAAGATGAATAGTGAATTTAAATGAGCCAATAARGTTAATTTCCCTGAATTCCTGAAGATGGTATTTTTAAAAAGAGAATAAAAACAATGTACATATGGATTTTCTTTATGTACATCTTTTAACTTTTACTAAAACATTGTCCTAGTTTTATTTGGACTCCTTTTGTTATCTTGGAAGATCACATGTTATATTTCATTGAACCTTGATGATTTTTTGATTGTAGAAATCGTAAACTTGTAGAAAACAAACTATAAAGAAAATTTTTTACCACATTATGAAGTGTAACATTGTCTTCAAATCCGAACTAGTAGGGCTGCTTTTCATAGATTGTAGTCTAGTCATAAGTGCCCTTGGTTTGATTCTTAATCACTACTGTATTACTGCTGTAATGATTGTTAGTATTTTAATTCATTACTTAAAATTTCTAGGTTCCCAAATTGTGTTACTATGCCACTATTTGGATCATCTAAGAAAAGCCCTGTTGAGTTGGTCAAAATTGCCACAGATGCCCTTAATACCTTAGAAAAGGAGCCACAAGGAAGTAAAAAGGCTGAAAAGGTTTTTATCGTAATTCTCATTAAAAACTATCTGTATAGTATAGTATAGTGTTCCATTGTTGATTATTAATGAAAATGTTGAATATCCATCTTTTGAAATAAATGCTGTTGGTTTCCATGTTGACAGTTTGAGTTATTTAGCTCTTCATAAAATATCATGCAGCAACTCTTCTTTTCCAAAACCTTTGATTCAWRTYRATATCAACSCAACTYAATGTTATACCCAATATTGCTTCGATGTCCTGTGAGTCACATGGTATAATTTGATGTCTCTAGGCATTAGAGGAGATTTCAAAGCAGTTTGGAGCAATGAAGGTCATTTTGCAAGGGACAGGAGGTAATAATATAGATGTTTTTATACAAGAATACAAGTTTTTAAAGCAGTGACTGTTTTCCAAGTAGATCAGGAGCCACAAACTGAATTGGTTGCTCAACTTTCCCAAGAGTTCTACAATGGCAACATATATACTGTTTTGCTTAACAATTTAGCCAAGTTGGACTTTGAGGTATTTTATGTACAAAAAGGATTTTTTAATCAACATGTAAATGTATCATGATGAAAGTCATGTTGACAGTGAGTATGGTATGAAAGATGATCATTAACCTTTTTGTTTTGGTATCAGGTTTTAATAATGTTTCATCCTTACTTGATCTTTTCCATTTTTATAGCAAATTGTGTATGTATTTGTATGTGTATTATGGAACGAATTACAAAAAATAAGTAATAATATGTTTCTTGTTCCAGTCCAAAAAAGATGCTGCCCAGATATTCAACAATATCTTGAGAAGACAAATAGGAACACGACACCCGACTGTGGAATATATGTGCAGTAATGAATCGTTGTTGTTCATTCTCGTTAAGGGGTAATTCTTTCTACAACACAATCCTCAGCATTCATTATTGCATTATTTCCTGTCAAGACAAATACCAAGCCTAATTGTAATGAATGGCAATCACTAGGATCCAAATCAAAATTTGTGCCCTGATATGACAGTGAAATCTAAACATCTTGATATCTCAAATTAAGTATTAGACAGCTTTCTTGTTAAATGTATAATTATAGTTATAAAATTTGCATCTTCACTTTCAGATATGAAACTCCAGAGATCTCTTTAAACTGTGGTGTAATGCTGAGAGAGTGTTTGAGACATGAGCCATTRGCAAAGATTGTTATACAAAATGATAAGTTCTATGACTTCTTTAGTTATGTGGAGACATCTACATTTGATATTGCATCAGATGCATTCTCAACTTTCAAGGTATAAAACATTACTTAGTATAAACACTGATATGCTAGTGCTGTCAATCAAATCATTGTGCTTATTTCAAAACATTGCCGATCATTGACTGTGCATTAACAAATCAATAAGTTTTATTTCTGTTTATAGTCATATTTTTTAACCTTTTGTTGTATTTTTAAATTAAATTAATTATTTAATTTATTATGGATAAATTAGTTCTAATATTTAATAAAATGTTTTCTTTATTTGTACTTCAGGACCTTCTAACAAGGCACAAGATAACATGTGCAGAGTTCCTTGATAAGAATTATGATAAGTTTTTCAACCATTATAAAGGCCTCCTGCACTCTGATAACTACGTAACAAAACGGCAGTCTTTAAAGGTATAGTATCCACTCCCTTCAACTAAGTTGAAATAAAATTGTGTAACAATTTAGGACAGGTAATATCATTAAATTGAAGTACAATGAAAGGGTTGTTGATTTTGATTATGTTTATCAGTTGTTAGGTGAGCTTCTTCTTGACAGACACAACTTCACAGTCATGACTAGGTACATTAGTAACCCTGAAAACCTTAAGCTTATGATGAACTTGCTACGGGACAAGAGTAGAAACATCCAGTTTGAAGCTTTCCATGTATTCAAGGTGAACGTCTTGGTATATCTTTAGTAGAAAATATTCTTTACCTGGTGTGTCTGTTGTCATTGAAATAATGACAAACATGATGAATAAAAAGTTGAAAAAATATAAAGAAGACTAACACRAAATGTTCAACAAACCAAAAGACTACACAAAATATTCATTGAATGTCACATGCTAATAAATGTACTTTTATCGAAGGTATTTGTTGCAAATCCAAATAAAACTCCTGCTATTCTTGAAATACTACTAAAGAATAAGGAAAAACTGGTGGAATTCCTCACCAACTTCCATACTGATAGAACAGGTAAATGCTTGATCAATCKTTAACATAATTAATGATTGTATGTATTTTATGCTTTGTTTGCATGATATGACTTTTTAGATGTAACTTATTTCAAAGTTATTTGTTTGAAAAAAAAAACCTGTTTCTTGTTTACAGAGGATGAACAGTTCAATGATGAAAAGACATATTTAATAAAACAGATAAAAGAACTTCAAGCACCACCTTAAGACCAGTCTAAGAGATGTCCAACAGTGTATCTAATATACATTATTTTTTTTACCTTGAATTCAATACTGGAGTGCACAGCACYAAAGGAACAAGGACGTGAAGGCTTATCACAGACACTTATTAAATGTTCCATCAAATAAGAGTTTAAACAATAAATTGATTGTTAAGTTATCAATCAATCCTTTTCTAATTCAGCTTGGACACATATTTGCTGGTGTAGATGTTAACAATCATCCTGCCTGCACCCAAAACCAAATACTTTAAACAAGTGCAATGAAAGTCACCTTGAAGTCCCTTAGATTTTAGGGAAAATGTGTACTTTGATTACTATTCATTAAATTCAATAATATTATTAACAGTTGTAAAGATATCTTTATTAATGATTGGTGATGTAGTGTTAATGGATGCTAAAAACAATGACACAAACACCAGCCCTTGTGGTTTTCCAATAATATTGTTGACATTTTCATTCAAAGTTACATTGATAAAAGCTAGAAATAAAAAAATATTAATCTTCGGTAACAGTATGTGATGTCATCATGTATAATGATTATTATGCTAATCATCTTTGTTGAGAGAGTTATAGGGGTTAGCATTGCGGCACATGTGGTATTGTGGCATTCAAATAATATGCGTCCACTGATGTAGTGTCTAATTTGCTTGACCAATAAAATGCTGTCCTCTAATCCATTAAAATTGCCATGCTGACCTCTAGTAGATCTATTTACCACTCAAACATCTCAGTCCTTCAAATGACTGTTGTATTTTTATAAATTTAGTTGCAGYATTTGGAATATGTTTTTCCTTATTTCTTTTGTGGTATTGCAGTATTCAGACCCCCTTATGGCCCCCTCTTTGAATTAGTTCTTGTTTTCTCTGATTTACAAATGTACAAAGATTTACACTAATTATAGAATGATGCATGTTATTTGACACCATTTTGATACCTAGGGTGGTTTTCATAAACCTCTGAAACAAAGTGTTGTAATTATCAGAGTGTACTAAAGTGTGTTACATTGAAACATTGAAGAAAAAAGTGCACAAGAAAGAATGAATTAATTAGCTGTAGTGRGGAAATGTTACACAGGTTTAAGAAAACCACTTTATCAATGTGTTTGTTGAGATGGATATTAGGGATCTAACTTGTTCCCAACAAACTTTCATCAACATTTTGCTGTGTCATTGTTAGTAGCCATTTGCCTGGAAAAAGTCAGCCAGCTTTTGCAGAACAGCAGTGCAAGATCCTGCTTGCATTCCTTCTGTATACCCACCAATCAATAAACACTTGTTTGTTTTGATTGCTACTGCTCCTTCTTTTCCCTGAGAACAGTTTAGTGATCTTCCTGGTTCAACTTTCACAAAGACATATTTAGATCGGTTCAGGGTAATACCCTTCTGGTACATAGGACTAGGATCTTTGGTTATTGCTGTAATAATTGCTTGTGCCTCACTTGGTAGTACCTTGCAATAGGTAATGTATATAAATCAACATATTTACAAATGACAGGAAACATTGTACAAATTATAACTACTACATTTGAATAACAGCCAAGGCAATACTTTTTTTAGACAATCTTTCATTTTCATAAATGTTTCAAAAAGATCCTGCCTCGAATATGGCAGATGGGATAAAAATAAACTACTTGAAATAGTTATGATACAGAAGAAAAAAAGAAACATGACACCAAATAGTGAAAAAATTATAACAATTGAACATTTCAGAAAAAAATAAAACCAGCAATGGTTTTTACATGTTTCGATGTATCTTTTCCAGATATACATGGACTAAAACATGTTTTATTTTCAAGAGTTCAATTTTTGCCATGGGGTGTACCTCATTAAATATTAAATCAATTCTACGACATACGACTTRTATCTGGGATCAAGGACATAGCTTACAGTGTATATAAAATGGGCACTAAGCAACATTAGCTGGTGGATTGTATGGTTCTGGCAAGTACATTTCGAAATACAAAGTACAAAATCCCAGACAATAACTATAGTTGTTACAAAGGACAATAAACAGCCAATTTCCTCGCGTGAAGTACTATCATTATAATTCAAAGAAAAACTTTTATAACATTCATTACCATTCTTGGTTACCAAGGAACTAATACCAGTGATATCAACCATTTCTTAATAACTTTCGAGAAGTTAAAGACGTTAAATCTTTGTTTACTTAAAGACGTACCACGAATCCAGCACTTGAGGCATATCTTGTACCGTCAAGGCCATGAATAGACGCTTTAGCAACTTGACTTGTTCCCAACAAACTTTCATCAACAAACTGCTGCCAACTCATCAGAAAGCCATAGTGAAATATTCCTGCTGTGTCTATACATACACTTAAAGCTTAACACTAAAAGCTTATATATTGGTATTTGTGCCACGACCGTCACGCAGAACGCAACATAGATCGCGACGTTTTTACTGTGGCAGGTACCCAGGGGAAAACCCATGTTCGTACTGTCCCCTCCCTCACTATGAAAAACATGAAAAGCTTGTTCCCAGGCCATTTGGCGCAATTTGGCGGGAAAACATTTGTTCGTCCATATTTTACTTGATCAGTTTATCTTGCTCAAAATATTGAAAACTTTCTAAAATATTTTGACCATAAAGACTTTCTCTTATATTCTCAAAAATGGATGCATTTTTTAAGGGTCGCACAGCATCAACCTCGAAAAAACTAGAAGGAGAGTCATCGACCAAAAAGACTTCTGTTCCTTGGGTAGAAAAATAGTGAGTGAATTGGAATTGTTTGGTACTTTTATCATAACAACCAAGGTTTGAATATAGGTTGGATAAGAATTTATTTCTTTTTTAATTGCAAGCCGACCAAGATCTGTGGACGAAGTAGCTCATCAAGAAGAGGTAGTCAAAGTGCTCAAAAAGACATTAGAGGGAGCTGATCTGCCTAATTTGCTATTTTATGGTCCCCCAGGGACAGGAAAAACGTCCACTATTCTGGCTGTAGCAAGACAGTTGTATGGGTAAGAAGCTATCATTATATCAAAACTTGCACAAAAACATGTGAAATGGTGTTATTATTTGTAAAAGTAATGTGTGATTATTTATTAGACATGATCTCTACAAGTCCAGAGTGTTAGAGCTAAATGCATCAGATGAACGTGGAATACAGGTAAATAATGTACATTCAATTATATGGCAGAATCAACAGATTGAAATCATTGAAATAATGGATGTCTACATCTATCATCATCATCCTTAAAACCATAGCTATAAGAAAAATATACAATAATAATACTAAGTAATAAATATAAATAAATAAATAGATAAAAACAATTATTATATAGAATAAGAGAAATGATATTATTATGTTAATTGTACTCTATAATGTCTTAATAATGTTGGATGATGAATGATTTGTGCTAATATATTTTTTTTTTAGGTTGTTAGGGAAAAGGTTAAAAGCTTTGCTCAGTTAGCAGCATCAGCAGTGAGATCAGAGTAAGAAAATTTAAATGATATGAAATTTAGTTAAAGCCCTTGCCTAACCCCAACTCTTGCCTTCAAAAAAATTTGTTGTTCTGTATACTCCTAGAAGTCAATCCCTCATCTCCAATCACCAGGATTCTCAGTTTCCATGATATGATACCAAAAAGAGCTCCAGTAAGACCCTACTTTACACAGTGCTAATTGACAACATTATGGCTTGATATACTTAGACATTTGATACACATCTTACAAATTTGTACTGGGAGAACTATAATTTCTTCCAGGGCATCTAAGACTAGAAATTGTATGAGGTTTGAAATTCTGTCTAGTCAGAACCTATTGTAGGCCTCTCTTTGCATTTTATAGTGGAAAACCCTGCCCTGCCTTCAAGTTGRTCATTCTAGATGAAGCTGACTCTATGACTCCCAGTGCACAGGTTATAATACAATATTAGCCATTGAATTTATTTCAATTCCTGTTCTTTTGAATTGTATCATCACAACAGATAATTATTATATATTTAATGCTTTCAGGCTGCATTGAGACGTACAATGGAAAAACAAACAAGAACAACAAGATTTTGTCTAATCTGTAATTATGTCAGTCGGTATGCCATTAAACATAAATTAATTGTTGACGATGACACATTATTTCATTCATAGTACTGTATTATTATTTTGAAATAAACYTCTATGATATAGGTTGATTTTGATTATCATCATTTGCAGAATAATAGAACCATTGACTTCACGTTGCTCTAAGTTTCGATTCAAGCCTCTCGATTCAACAGTGCTAGAAACAAGACTGAAAGAAATATGTGAAAAAGAAGAAATAMATTATGAMGACCAGGCAATCCAGGAAATTATCAGAACATCAGAAGGAGATATGAGAAAGGTCAGGGTCAACAGATGGGAAAAATAGACATGACAATATGAAATCATTCTATTCAGTCTTACTTTGAAAAAGAACGCAAGAGAAATGTGATTTTTAGCAATAAAAGAAACATTTAAGTATGATAACATCATTTAGTCAAAGATATGTCAGCTACTATTTTACTGGAAATGTTTGTATACAGGCTATCACATACTTACAAAGTGCACACAGACTGAAAAGTGATTCTGGTATTTGTGGTGAAGATATAGTAGAGATTGCAGGGGTATGTATGCTAATTTTGAACTTYRGGTTCCTCTCATTGCTTGCATTTGAGTGAACATRAAATYTAGAAACAGACTGCTATTCAAAGGAGTCACAGTTAAGCTGATAGTGTAACTCACCTTAATCACACTWATAAGCAGTAAGAGAGACTTGGTGAAGTTATTCTTATCTTTTCATTCACAAATTGTTMATCTACTCAGGTCATTCCAAAGAAAATGCTCCTAGAGTTGTTAGAGGCTTGTAAAACAGATTCATATGAAAAGTTAGAGTCAGCAGTTAAGGTAAAAATCAGCCTTTAATTCATTGAAAAGAGCAGGAATACTATGCACMATTTTGTACTGTTAACAGGACATTATTGCTGAAGGTCATGCTGCTTCTCAACTTATTAGTCAGGTTAGTATATTTCTCTGTGATTTGCACACCCAGTGACTAAGTGTTCTTGAAACCTCAGTTCAATGCTCTGCTCCTGATCTATGTGAAGCTGTGAACTCTGAGGCTGTAATTCGTGATCTGATGGAGCATTGTTCTTGTAGATTCTTGATGAAATAATTCAAATGGAAGAGCTAACAGATCACCAGAAATCAGAAATAAYTGAAAAACTTGCAGTGAGTATTGTGGTTATTTAAATAGTTAAGATTACTACTAATGGACCTGTGTATGGTAGTAATATTATGTATARCTTAAAACACTCTCTCGACTGTTTTAAACGGCTTCAAAAACTCCAACACTAATTTAAAACTCAATTCCATTAACGTTCTTGGAGAAATTGCCGTAAAAATAAGTTTTGAGATAAATGGGGCAAACTGATCATGCGCCAATCACTTTACAAAGCTCTCTTGTCATCCCACATTGAATACACATAAAGTAAAATAGAACCGCTGTTGGCTGTTTACTGCAATCGGTTTACATCCTGCATTGGTCAATGATCAGGTATCAAACCTGAGACCTTTGCTAGGGTCACCTTTATATCTGATGAAGGTCAAAGAATACTAATAAGGAATATATTTATACAAAGAATACTAATAAAGAGCGTTTTATCAGATATAAAGGGCCATGCATGTGACCAAACAGGCTCATTCTATTGGCCTAATAACTCATTAATTATGCATGAGTTTTTGAAATATAGTAACAAGTGAATTTTCTCTACAGGTTGTAGATAAATGTCTGATAGATGGAGCTGATGAATACTTACAGGTTTTGAGTCTTTCATCTGTCATGATGCAACAGTTTTGTCATGCTGGTTAGCCTACTGGATTTCAYAACACAAAAGAAAATACTATTTGCAAATGCAATTAACATCAGTAGCACAGGCTGGAAAATGTTGTATGAAGAATGATTACAGTAATAAAGAAAGTTCATGTAACTTGCCCRCAGAAGACAGTTTAAATCATGACTGGTTAACCTTCCCTTTCATTTGATTTAAGKTCATAAATTATTACACTCTGGTATTTCAAGACAGTAATTTCTGAACTGAAAATTTATATTTATCCAAGGACATTATAAACTTCATTGTACTTTACTTATATGCTAAAAAGACATGTACAAGATAAAAAAACATTTCCTGGTCTAATACTGGTTTATTGTTTCTTTTATTTCTGCAACATATAATCTGGACATAGTTTAAGAGCAGAGCTACTAATTCAGCATAAGCCATAATTTTCGTCTTATGTTTGTTAAACAATAGGCCCTATCTCTATTCACAATACTCATCTGCAAAGGGAGAGGGGTAGGCACTATATTATCTATCCAGTAGTAGGATTTYTGAGTTCTTTGAAGTTAGCATTTATTTCTTAGATACATATTATCCATGAAACATTCATAATTACTACAATGGAGCAGATCTGTTAAATCTAAGACTCGTTCAGTGGAGTCATTTTCATTTCACCAAGAAAAGAAAATGATTATTGAGTTATTGCTAAATCCTGAGTGTATCAACAACTATTATTATAATTCAAAACCAAATTTTCCTCTGCCCGCATTGGTGGAGAGATGACCATGCAACATGATAGTAGATACAACTTGATAGGGCTATTATCAGTGCATAGAGTTCACTGCTTCAGAAAATTTTGTTGTTGAGTGTAAAAACAGTAGAGCAATTTGAATCGCATTATTCTGTGATATTTGCCCTTGGATACTTGATAGTAATGACTGTTCCTATGAACATCCAGTTTCTGCAGGCAATTATCACAGCATTATGTGCTTGATTCAACTACTCTATTGTTTAAGTAGACTMTCAACCCTTTTATGGTCAAATTAAATCCATTTTCAGTTGAACAAAGATGGTATTTTAAAGTATTTTCCAATAGTTACTTTCATCACACAAGAAGCTGTTGATTATGGCAGATTTCTAATCCAATCTACCACACATGCTAATTCATACATGTTATTGATTTGAAAAATAATTTAAAGTAGAGTGGACACACTAAAACCATGAAACAAATAGAACTAATTAATACAAAATTAACTATTTTGTACTATTTAAGTTTCAAGGTTTAAGTGTGTCAACTCTGGCATGAGTTATAAGTTATAACAGCAAACTAAAATAGTTATAAAAATGGTTTACAGCCATCTAAAATAGTGAAAATAAACAATATACATATATAATTCATTTGCTTAAATATTCATAACACAATATCAATGTACATTCATGTTTACATCATAGTCCATGTTGTCATGGTGATTGAGTGCCATCAATCCTCGGTCTTCCTCAACCCAGGCAACTATTTTACCCTCCCAACCAGGCAGGATATCTTGATCATCAATTACCTTAAAAGACATAAATGCAAATCATCAATTATTATTCAATGTGCATGGCTGATCAAATTTTAGCTGTTCAAATAGGTCAAAGAACAGTATTTAGACACAGTTAATGGCAATGAAAAAAGAATTGATTAAAACAACTTGTAATATTATTATAACTGCCTTACTAAAGGAAACTATTTCATCCCACATTTTATAAGGAATAAAACACATAATGCCCGTACCTCTTCTTTGACAGTACCAAATTCAGGGTCTAAAGCTTTAAAATGATATCTGTATGGTCCTGGCTGGTTAAAAACAGTCTTGAAATCCTGAAGTGTTATATTTCCCAGTCTGTGGACATATTGAAATGATTTGAAATAAATCACCACACCCTATCATTGCATCACTTGATATCACCTACAAGTACCTTTACAATAATTTAGACACACAATGTATTGCTAAGTCCAATCCTGGCCTCTTGCTCAGGACTCCTGGAGAAAGTGAGGCCAGTTTAACTTGCATGCATATATAAAACCTAATGACTTGTGATCACCACTGGACTAAATATACTGGACTTCATGCAAGTCCTTTGGTGGGTCAAAAGAAGGCCAGTCTTGGGCTATGTTTGATATGCTAGCCACTATCATGTGACTAATTAATATTCAAAGGATACTTAAACATTATTTTGACAAGTCTACTTTGAATATTAATTAGTCAAAAAATATATATATTCAAAGGATACTTAAACATTATTTTGACAAGTCTACTTTGAATATTAATTAGTCAAAAAATATATATATTCAAAGGATACTTAAATATTATTTTGACAAGTCAATCATACATTCAATATAGTATGTTTCTACCTTTTAGGTATTGTGGCTAGGAACGGTGTTATTGTCTGTTCAGTGAAGTAAAGTATCTTAGTGGATGATCYAGTATTATCACTTTGTACCATTCTTGCACGACTATTACCTACAATATGAAGATTTATTTATATCAATTATATATATAATAACAGGATACACGTAACCCATGAAACACATGTTACTAAGCAACTGGCATAATTTAGAAACTATTAAGCATTGATGAAGTATGTTTRTTATAACAAAAATTAACTAATTCTTTTTGTAGACCATGAACCTGACAAACTAACTGTGAAGCTGATGGGAAAATACTGCATTCATACTTTGTCAGGCTTTAATTGATGTTAGGAAACAATGCTTATGATTTATGATGGACACAAAACAGAAAAATACATAYTATGTTACAATATGCTAGAAAGAATAAGACTTATAACTTACTTGTGTGAACAGGTCGCACATATCCYAAGTCATTATTGTATTCTACACCATTCATCTAAATTAAACAAACTATGCTTAAAATACATTATCTGAAAATTATACACAAGCTATTATTAATCATTACATATTAAAAGCCATCTGCTTCATCAATCAAACTATATCACTTAAAAATTTCAATACAATATAATGTTATTTGAATGGCTACTACGTTACCATGGATACCTGTCTGTCTGTACTTGTATTACCAGATTGTGGTTGTCTTACTACCAGGCTGGAAAAAGTCTAAACAAACAAGATGAATCCTTGAATTTATGGTTGCAAAAAAAGGAAATGGTTAAGAAAATAGATAAATGAAAGATTGAAYAACACTACAATTTCATTCAAAGAATATGAGCACTAACCTGCTCTAAAGCATCTAAAGTATGTTGCTGTGGGTCGTTAGCTCTGAAACATTCCCTTAAATTCTTGATAGTCTCACGTACCATTTCTACTTCTTCAGCTTTCTACAAAACAACAATGATCTCACAGTCTAGTTACTGTTTACTAGGATTTATTGGGGAAAAGCAAAAGAACACATTTCCTTTTTATTTCTGTGTTTTTCTTCTTCTCAATATTGACTTACTGGTGTATTGTCGTCTAGAATCTTTTCCTCAAATGACTTCATTCTTTGATCTTGATTGTAGATTCTTGATGAAATATCAGCCTAACACAAATTTATATTCAATATGAACTTGCATTAGTTTTAATTTCAACATTATCATATTGTCTACAATCAACCAATATTCTTACATCATTATCATCATCATTTTTTTCCCTTTACCTCTTGAACAGCTACTGACTGTAGCTTTTCCTGTAGGTCTACTATTCTCTGTCGTAATTCATGTATTTGTAAATCTTTATCTTGGTAATGCCTGCTTGATGCAGCCTATCAGTGAATATTTTCAAACCAAAAGTAAAAATCTTTTCTAAAATAAGTATGATTCTCTGAGTAGATAAAAATGCAAACAGCTGGTCTAGCAAATGTTGCTAGAGTTTCACAAAGTAATTAACAAGACAGTAATACCCTATCTTACCTAGAGCCATACATAAGTATAGTATAGTAACAAATACAGTACCTCAGCATATTTCATATGTTCCATGTCCCTCAGTGTGTCTTCCAACTCAGCTCTCTTTCTATCAATAGTTCTTTCCTGTCGTAAAAGTTCAGCTCGCAAAGTTGCTACTTCTTTATCCCTCTCATCCAATTTTCGTTGCAATTCCACAATTTCAGCATTTCTATTCTGTTGCATAAAACTTGACTTTAAAAGTTCAGATTTTAAATGCATGATGGTTTCTTCTTGTTGTGTGAGACGCGATGTTAGTCCAGATTTCACACCTTGAAGATTAATTGATTCTTCTTTGAAGTTATTTCGTTCTGTTTTCAGTACATCATACTCTGCACTCATTTGATTTAGTCTTGCATTGACAATTGTTAATTGTTCTTTTAAATCAGTTCCTTCAAGATAACTGTATTCTTCTGGTACTTCATCATCTTCTACTCTGCCATCCATTAACTAGTATGATATAYATGAAAATAAGACAAGGTTCTAGACAACAATGGATCTCTTATAATAAGAAATATCACATAATTTRCAACATACCAATTTCTGTAGGTTTAATAGTACACTTTTGGTTTCTACCAAATCTCCAACCAAAGCATCTTGCTCCAATGTTAACTCATCTAGAAATTCACTTGTCAAGACTGACATCTTAGTTTCCTTTGATTTCTTTCTTAAGCACATCAAACCTGAATCAACATCAGACCCAGAGTGTTCAGATCCATCATGTTGCTCATGGAAGAGATGTCCTTTTGGTGTTGCAGACCCACTGCCTGGTGTTGATCTTCCTGATTTACGACCCTCTTTGCTTGATTGACTACTTGTCTTAGGAGTGCTGACAAGTGGTGAGCCAGCAGGCAACATGGGGGTGCCATCAGAAACTCTCATTGGGGACCTGGGTGGGGTGCTAGGTGGATCATGATGTTTTCTAAAGTACAAAATACCAGTCTTAAATTAGAGAATTATGATTTGAAAATATGTATTTTAGGTGACTGATCAATATACATGAACACAAACTGAGAAAATGATGGTTCAATTAATTCAATCATTTTTCTCTATATAAATATAAACAAATTAATCAACTAATGTGCTATTTCAAAGGGAACAGTTGTTCAAAGTGTGATTAGAGTTAACCCAGGATTAACACTAATCCAGAACAGTTTCCACCTAACAGTAACACTAGTGAGAGGAAGATTTCTTACTGCTTGGGTTTGAATTTCAGCAGTTCACATCATTTTATTGTGACGTATCACTAACCTGTATCGTGATGTTATGTGTCGACCAACACTTGCAGCAGCTCGGCTTGCTTCAGCAATAGCAGCAGCAGCTTCCGATGCAGCTGCAGCYGCTGATGGGGTCCTTGCAATTCTTTTGCCAGCCACAGTTAAAGACCCTGGTGGATACTGGGCTGACTGCTTTACGCTTCCTGGCTTGAAATGTGCCGCCAAGGAAAGTATTAGTCTCATTGTGGACTTAAGGTTGCCTTCAAGGATTTCTATAACAAATATTATAATAAAAATAAGATCCTTTCCTAGAGAAAGATCTATGAATGTAAAGCATTGGAAGCAATTTATAACACAAATAATATAACCATTTATTAAACACATCAGAAAATGTCTTTAATATAACATTATTACTCAAGTGCAATACAGATCAACTTAAAAAAAAAGCGAGCAATTTACACAACAGCCTTGTTCTACACTGACTTGCTTCTTGAACAGCAATACAAACAAACAATTACTCCATGAATGGGTATCTACTCATTTCAGAGCAACTGTTGTGTAAATTGGTCATCCTTTTGGTCTATGATGACTCCATTATTACTGGTATTAATACAGTTAGAAAGTATGATATAAACCATACCTTTGGCTGAAGTGTGGTGCATTTTGATGTTATTTGCAGCCATAAACTGCAACACCTGATCAACATTCTCTTTCATATCAGACAGTGACTTTGGGTTTTCATGTACTTTAAGTTTTTCACCAGCTAACCACAATTAACAATGATATTAGAACTCATGATAGTATTACGCACATACAGCAGGTATTTATTTTAAAATATCACAATTACATCAATGATAATTTTTTCACATCATTGTTTATGAAATGAAGGTGGAAATGATGACAAAACCATGAAATCAGTGATAATGATGACTACTGGTCATGAATATAGTATTGGTTATATTCATTATTACTATAATATTCACTTGGTACTTWATCATCTTAATACTTGTGTAATACTACTTTATTTCAGTATAATCCGTAGTAACAGGAACTTCTGATTTCATACTCTCTAAGAAAATCATGTGTAGGAAAAAACATAGAATACTTTAAAAACAATAATTATTGACCTTATCTCTAAATCTAAACTCTCACAATTTTAAAAATAATATAAACACTTGATTATGGATATACTTGTTTGTAATTAAAAAATAAAATAAAAACCTGAGAGACTATAAAAAATTGAAAACTAGAAAAAACCCTGGTAATTATATTAAAAACATTTCTTCACAGAAAACTGCAATAAATAGCATTATTCTCTCAAAGAACAATGCAGTRTTATAGTATTTTTATTCATAAACTATGACAGGAAAAAAATCTATTACATTTTCTATATTTGTCAAAATCTGATTTATTTTTATTGCAGTCCTTTATAAATATAATACTCACCTACAACCTCTATAAGTTGAATAAGTGCTACTCCATCTTTCAAATCTCTTGGGAGATCTTGAACAAAACGACTTCCAGGACGTTTCTTGAGTTGTGAATTGACCCATGCTGTATATGCTTGTAGCTGTTCCTAGTGTTAGAAAACATGCTTTAGTACAAAATATAGACAGACATTTAGCCAAACTATACTACTCACCAAGTAAACTAATTCACGAAAACTACGAGATCTTCTCTTAAATGTCTTTCTTTCTAATGAAGACATAACTGATGATTTTGAATTTCAAAATAAATCGATTTCCTATGAGTTTTGATACAAAACATTATACATGTACCATATCTGACAATGATCACTTTCAACCCAACTAGAGACATAAACTGGTTATTGTATATTCTACACTCATGTTTTGTCTTGTGGTTATTATYATTTTCTAGTCAAGAGATGTCCTTGAATCTTATATATCCCARTTATGATACAACATCCATGGTGAGCAGTTACTACTCAACCAACTAACCAACATAATATGTAAAATAGCAGAGAATGCTAAATAAATACTGATGAATTTTACATTATCTAGGCAAGGTTTCCTAATTATACCAGAATAATAATGATGATGATGTGGCAACTTGTCAAACTTGAATATATGTCATGTATGTTATTAAGATTCTAATTGAATAATTTAGAAAAATAAAGAATAATTTTCTCTAGATTCTGGTGAATTTGAGACTTGCAATCAAGCTGAATAATATTCCAAACAAACAGGTGACAATATATAAAATATAAATAATAATGACTGCCACAAACACCACTAACATAGCAGGAGATATATTTACCTAGATCACTGACAACTTTATTTATATTTTAGAGCTGAAAGATATTTATAACTATAACTATTCCTTGAATAAATTTCTCTGTAATATTTCCCAATGTTGGAGAAATAAATAATGAATTCACTACATAGGWGTAACACAATAGCTGTCAAAAAGGATAAAATAGAATTACTGACAGGCCATATATGGCATAGTAGGAATATTGCTAACTGCTTGTCCAAGGGAAGATTGAAATAATATCTATTTGACTTCACGACAGTCTAATAATAAGAGCACCTGGAATATTTTACCCAACACAAAAAATATCCATAATTAATAACTACATGTACATTTTGTTTACAATAAATGAAAAACTTCTTATCATAATAAACTTAATTTGATGGAAGTAATATCATTGATTGATTTTCTCAAGGTGATTGAGTTCAATATGTACACAATATAAATTCAGACCAGTGTCTTGGATAATATATTTTTCATCTGTAAGGCAGCAACTAATGGGAAACATTTTCATAGATTTTAATCTAAAGCTTAAAAATATCTGGAAAAACATTGGGATAATGAGTAAAAAATAAAATAGACAATTCTAGTAAACAATATCATCAACATCTTAGAGAAATCKAGAAACCATCTACTTTTTTAAAGGAAACAAAATTCAAAACAACATTTAATTTTCTAGATGGTCCAATTCAAACCTTTTTTATTACATTTATCATAATTAGTATAGGATACTTAGGTAAACATAAGCTATAACCATAGTTATGACTTACCAAATGTCGAAACAGTCGGTAAACATCTAAACTAATACTATTCTTTAGCAAAGAACTCCTGAATTCACAACCATCAGACACCATTTTTAGGTGTCAGCTAAGCTTACACGTTATAACTTCGAAAAGCATCCAAACTGATTTTAAAGATGCATTTCTTCTCAAAATAATTATTAGGTCATCTCTTAAAGTTAATCAACAAACAATAACGACACAACTAGGTTTAACGAGTACATGTCAATAAATTCATGCGACTGTTTGCTCTGTCTGAACCAAAACATTGAAAAAATTKCCTCGTTTCAATGGTTATAGCCGGGAATGCGATAAAGCAATTACTATCACAATTTTSAGGTGATGTCTTTTTCAGATCATCTTTTGAAAACTTGTCAATGAAGAGTCGARAGGCTTTCGAGGCTTTCTTGAAGAAAATGAACAATTTACAAAGGCAGTTCCGGTCAATCACATTTGATTGAGTAAAAGTATTTACCACAGAAAATTAAGATAAAATCTAAGGCCAAGTTAAGCCTCTCAAAAGTACACAGAAAATGATGAGAAGGAGTACAAATTGCATCATGTCCTCGAGGAATGGAATTTTCTTTTGGCGCGAATTTGTTTTGTTTCAAGCTTAAGGTTTAAGGAGCATAACGATTATAATTCAACTCAATTGATTTTAAGTTATACGCAATTGAAAGGCGTTGTACCGGAGCTTATAAGACCCAAGCAGAAACACTAATGCCATGGTTACKAACAAATACGAAGTTAAATACCTCTCTTTTCAAATCATTCTCAAGTTTAGATTTTCGACCGTGTCTTGGAGACGACAAAGTGCCACTTCTGTGATCCCTAGAACGCTGTAAACCTTGCGACACTGGGCTTCTTTTCCCGCTTGACTGTGTGGCAGCTTGCATCCTCACTCATAATGGTGTAAAATACTACATTCCTAAAGAAAATCTCCCTTGGTGTGTTCACTTGACACTCAACGAAAAAACGAAAGACCATCCATCTTTCAATGTCTTTACKAAATTTCTCTTCGGTAAGATGTCGGGTYATAATCGGCAAAACGATRAACCTCCGGAACTATGGCGATTRATAKSGATCACCATWCAGCTTTGCCGCCAACAGCGCGATCGACATGATTGYAATGGGGTCCTTTTTATTTCAAGTCTTTATATTTTTTCTGTCAATATCTAATGTTCATCAATGTGGTATAAGTACGCATATTTCGATAGCCCATGAAGCGTTGCAGTATTTTGACGATCGAAGGGGAGACACTAACTACAGAGATCTYGTTATGACGCACCAAGATGCATTCGTCGCCGGAAATCCCTATCCAGATGCGATGTACTCAAACCTATGCTTTAATGGCAAGTTTCATCAAGTATCTGAGGATACTCACTGGTCACCGTTTTTAAATGCTACAGTAAATTTTATCAGAGAGAAATATCCCAAACCTTGGAGTAAGGTATTTATAATCATGTGACTCAGTGTAGCGGAAGCTCCGGTATTTTTGACAACCGGAAGTTCTGCTAATTTGTTAATTATTTTCTTAGTTCTAGAARTACACAGTTAAATGAATATTTGGAATAAAACGTCCTGGGCCAAATCAGATTGTCAAACAAGACAAACAGGATCAGGGAGTGTCCAGGAG